CCCCAAAACCCCAAAACCCCAAAACCCCAAAACCCCAAAAATAAGAAAATATTGAATATGGATCCGAAAAATGATGTATCTGAAGATGACGATGCCATTGAGGTGACTGATTCTGGAAATCTTAGTAAAAGACTTAGCAAGGAAAGAGAGCAGCTAGAAATAGCCGAGAAAGCAGTTGCAATCCGGCAAAAAACAAGAGAACTAGAATGGTTTGAAATGGAATCAAAGGTCAGAAACTTAGTCTATGAATTACTCCAGCCCACTTCTAAATAAACTAACTAATAACAAGCATGAATCTGAAGAAATCAGAAAGGATATGAAGGTACAGGATGACAGAATTGAGAAGCTTGAGTATACTCTTAAGATAACTTCTAAGAAAGGCAACTCAACTGTTTTCGATGACATAAATGATAAAATCCTGAAAAATGAGAAAGCCCGCATTGAGCAAAATGATGTGATAAGCTCCAATATAAAGTCAATAGAAGATGAACAGATTAACATGCAAGATAACTGCAAAGATCTGAGGAATATTCTCAAAAGAATCGAAGATAAGTTTGACGAAATGTACAAAGAACTCAAATATTTGTCGTCAATTCAAATTAAGGACAAAGAGGAATTAAATAAAAAGTTTGTTGATGTGTCCAAACAAATGGTTGAGGAGCTCCAGACCACAAGGAAAAATGTATCTATACTTGATAACAAAGTAATGAAATAGCATAAATATTTAGGTGGATATTCTAGACTCTAACACTAAGTTCACTACTTCTAAACTGGAGGAGTGAAATAATTACATTGAAATATTAGAAAATAAACACCTCACAAATATTAGGGACAAAATTACAGAGCTAGATAAGTTTAAAGTGAACAAATCTGACTTGAATAATGGTAAATTAAGTCATAATGGTTTCATAGATATCCTTGAATCAAGGATTAACGATCTGAGCAGACTAGCTGACATATATGCCAACAAGATCAAATTTATTGAGAACTTTATTGATAAGTACCAGCCAATTCAAATTCAGTCTCAGATATCTGACTCGATATATTCTTTTGTGAACCCAGAAATGAGGAAAAGCTACAAGATCCATCTAAGCATTCAGATGGAGAAGTTTCATAGAAGAGTATTGGAGGATGAAGGAACTACCAATCTTGAGCTCTCCTGTGAACTACTTGCCAATCTAGCTTCAGATAGTGTAAGAAAATTGGGAAATAAATAAATCCAAATATGGAAAAATCAAAAGCCATTCACAACATAACCAGGATTATTCCAAAGCTCCAAATATGTCTCACAATCTTAGCGTCCCAAGTGGGTCTAAGCAGATGGTATCCTTAGAGCATGAAGTAATAATGGAAAAATCAGAAGTAGAATCTGTAGGAGAATCTTCAGCAATACGTTCTTCCCCAGGGGACTCAAGCAAGGCTATTGCAGACTCAAGTAAAGCCATTGGGGCTTCAAATGCTTCTATCTCCCTCCAAGCTCCCCAAAACTCAAGTCTGGACATAAGAAACCCCAAACTCTCCGGAAAAGCCTTTATCAAAGCTGGAGACCAGTACCAAATCGAAGAATTCAAACGTGAAAACTCCGGTAATCCCTCTCTCTCCTCCACTCCCAACATGCCTTTCATACATGACATGCAAGAGGTAGAAGATGTGCTCTTTGACCTACAGAACAACTACGTGAACCTAGAAGCAAAGCTTGATTCCCACTACCTGGCATTCACACAAGGAGTAGAGACTAAGGTGAATGAACTAGCCAAGGCAGTGGAGTTTAGTAATAACCAGATGAATGTGTACATGCAGATGTTGGGACAGCAGATGGAGAACAAGGATAAGTAAAGTGGGGTTTTAGAGATCAGTGGAGAAGTCAGAAGGGGTTTTGGGGTTTTGGGGTTTTGGGGTTTTGGGG